GTCTCCCTGGGTACCAACCTCACCACCTTCGATGGAGCCTACGGTGCCATCAGCTCTTCTGGGTTTTATGAGCTCTCTTCCCTCTGCCCGGGACTACAGAACATTCCCTGGTACCGGGTAGTTATTGATGTGCAGTCTTGCCAGGACAATGTGCAAACTGTGGGTGAAGTTCACATCTTTTTCCAGGAAGGGCTGGTCACGGTAACTCCACACAAAGGCGTGTGGGTAAGTATGGCCATAGGTAGGTGCAAATGTCTCCCCTGGGCTTTTGCTTTTCTCATTGTGTCCTGTATTCCTGGTTGCCTGGTTGACTTGCTGTTTTTCTTTTTTCTTTTTGTTGGCCATAGGGCTTGAACTCAGGGCCCGGGCACTGTTCCTGAGCTCTTCAGTTCAATGCTACCACTCTACCACTTTGAGCCACAGTGCCACTTCCAGTTTTCTGGTGGTTACCTGGAGACAACAGTCTCATGGCCTTTCCCTGCCTAGACTAGCTTTGAACTGGGATCCTCAGATCTCAGCCTCCCGAGTAGATAGGATTAGATAGGATTACAGGCGTGAGCCACTGGCACCTGGCTGCTATCTGTTTTTCTTAGCCAGACTGTAATTTGATCTCTGGATTTGTGTACTTGTCTCAATATTTCAGAGTTCGTCCCTCTGTTCAGGCTGAATCCTTGAGGAGCAAGTAGATTCTCAAGTAATGGGATAGTTTTGGTATTAGTATTCACCAAGACTCTGATCATTACAAATCACAGAAAATGACTTTCAAATTGAATTAAGTAAAGGTAAATACATTAGTCTATATAATGAGAGCATCCTAAGATAGAGCCTTTGGGTTTTTTTTTTTTTGTCAGTCACGGGGCTTGAACTCTGGGCCTGGGCACTGTCCCTCAGCTCTTCAGCTCAAGGCGAGCACTCTACCACTTGAGCTACAGCGCCACTTCCGGTTTTCTGGTGGTTTTTATTGGAGATAGGAGTCTCACGGTCTCTCCTGCCCAGGCTGGCTTTGAACCGCGATCCTCAGATCTCAGCCTCCTGAGTAGCTAGGATTACAGGCGTGAGCCACCAGCGCCTGGCAAAATAGAGCCTTTGGAATGACTGGATCCGGGTACCCTGGGAATAGTTCCAGGTTGTACCTCCATCTTCTAGACTTCTTGTCCACTCAGTCAGCTTCATTCTCAGACAAGCTCTCTTTTCACAGGCACAGAGATAATCCCCTTCTTTGTCCAAGCATAACATTCCACTAGTCTTAGCACCTCAGTAGCAAGTGGTCTAACCAATGCATGGCATTACTTCTCACTGGGGCCAGTTTGGATCACATGACCACTGGCAGAACGAATTATTGGTGGTCTTATCATCTCAATGATGTAATTGGTCAGACTGAAGTCACATGACCCACCAGGGATTTACCCAAGATCTTTCCTTTTGTTTTTTTGTTTGGGGGGGGGGGGCAGGTCTGGTCCTGGGGCCTGAACTCTGGACCTGGGCGCTGTCCCTCAGCTCTTCAGCTCAAGGCTAGCGCTCTACCACTTGAGCCACAGCGCCACTTCTGGCTTTTTTTCTTTTTGCTTATGTGGTGCTGAGGAATCGAACCGAGGGCCTCAGGCATGCAAGGCAAGCACTCTACCACTGAGCCACCTTCCCAGCCCCCCAAGATCTTTCCTAAATGCAGCAATTCATTTATGTGGGTAGGGAACCTTTTTTCTTTTCTTCTCTTTTTCTTTTTTCTTTCTTTTCTTTCTTTTTTTTTTTTTTTGGTCATGGGGCTTGAACTCTGGACCTGGTGCTGTCCCTCAGCTCTTCAGCTCAAGGTGAATGCTCTACCACTTGAGCCACAGCACCACTTCCAGTTTTCTTGTAGTTTATTGGCAATAAGAATCTCACAGACTTTCCTGTCTGGGCTGGCTTTGAACCAAGATCCTCAGATCCTCAGCCTCCTGAGTAGCTAGGATTACAGGTGTGAACCACCAGCACCTGGCCTAGAGAACCTTTTTCTACTAAGGGCTATTTGGATATTATAATTTGCAATCCACACAAAGTCATCAATACATGCAAATGGACTCCGGAAGCTGACAAAAAGAACAATACAAAGCCCAACACTGGTAGCTCACGCCTGTAATCCTAGCCACTCAGGAGGCTGAGATCTTAGGATCATGATTTGAAGCCAGCCTGAGCAGGAAAGTCTGAGACTTCATCAACCACCAAGAAGCCCAAAGTGGAGCTGTGGCTCTAGTGGTAGAGCCACAGCCTTGCACAAAAGAAAAAAAGAAAGCTATGAGAGTTCCCAGGCCCTGAGTTCAATTAAGCGTGAGCTTGCATCTCCACATGGTGCATTTCTCCAGGTCTCCATCTCTTTCAGCACCTCCTGCTTTGCTTTAGCACCTTGAACTTGGTGCTTGAGCATTCCATGCTGGAAACCCTCCAGTTCTCCAATGGCTCTGTCCTCACATTCTTCTTCATCACCAGGTGAATGGTCTCCAGGTGGATCTTCCAGCTAATGTGTCATCTGTGTCTGTGAGCCAATCCCCTGACTCTATACTAGTCCACCAGAAGGAAGGGGTCCAGGTGAGGCTTGGAACCAATGGGCAGCTGGCTGTGATGATCAGTGACAGCCATACTGGCCTGCTGTGTGGGGCTTGTGGAAACTTTGATGGGGACCAGAACAATGACTTGCCCAACTCCCTGGGGAAGACGGTGATGGAGAAATGGAGAGCACCAGACTTCTCTCCATGGTAAGCGATGTGGTAAGGGATGTGGCTTCGTGGGGACAGGGACCCTTGAGTCCTCATGGACAAGGGGGGGACAGTTTGGGGTGGGGAAATGTCAGTAAGATAAGGTGCTGATTATCTGTCCCTTGCAGTTACAACTGAGGAATCATTCATGGACAATGAAGGCTTTATGGACCAGAAATGAAGATTTCAAGACCTGACCTCCCTAGAGGTCACAATGTTTGAAGATTGTCCTTGTATGTCCCCCCTTCCCCACTCCACATGCTACCCCTCTGCCAAACTACTGAGACCAAATGTAAGAGCATTGAGTAAATATCTCCAGTCAAGCTGCATGCCAATGTGTCTGTCTCATTCTGTACCATCTCTGATTTCCTTCCTACACAGCAGGGGAACCTGGATGTGTAGATTTTTACTGGGGTTGAGAGGATGGATGGATGCATTCATGCATAAGATGCATGGGTAGCCAGGTGCTAGTGGTTCATGCCTGTAATCCTAGCTACTCATGAGGATGAGATCTGAGAATCATGATTTGAAGCCAGCCCAGGAAAGAAAGTTCAGAATATAGGCCAGAAGGAAGCTGTAGTTCAAGTGGTAGAGGGGTAGCCTTAAGCAAAAAAGCTCAGGGAGGAGGTGGGAACATAGTTTAGTGGTAAAGTGCTGACCTAGCATGCATGACGCCCTGGGTTCGATTCCTCAGTACCACATAAACAGAAAAAGCCGGAAGAATAGTGCTGTGGCTAAAGTGGTAGAGCACTATCCTTGAGCGAAAGCAGCGCAGGGACATTGCCCAGGTCCTGAATTCAAGCCCCAGGACTGGCAAAACAAAAACAAAAACTCAGGACAATTGTCCCAGGACTAGTGAGTATGTACACACACAGGTAGGTAGATGAAGAAATAAGTGTTGTGGAGGGTAGGGAAATACATTAAGAATTGGAATAGATTAAGAATCTATTGCTGGATGCTGGTGGCTCAAGCCTGTAATCCCAGTACGCAGGAAGATGAGATCTGAGGCTTGCCAGCGTGGGCAGAAAAGTCAGGGTGAAGCTGGGCGCCAGTGGCTCATGCTTGTAATCCTAGCTACTCAGGAGGCTGAGATCTGAGGATCATGGTTCAAAGCCAGCAGGAAACTCTGTGAAACTCTTATCTCCAATAAATCATCAAAAAACCCGAAATGACGCTGTAGCTCAAGTGGTAGAGCGCTAGCCTTCAGCTGAACAGCCGATCAGGCCCAGAGTTCAAGCCCCAGGACTGGCAAAAAAAAAAAAAAAAAGGCCTCCCTTTGGGCTGGGAAGGTGGCTCAGTGGTAGAGCGCTTGCCTTGCATGCTCGAGGCCCTGGGTTCGATTCTTCAGCATCACATAAGTAAAAAGAAAAAAGCCGGAAGTGGCGCTATGGCTCAAGTGGTAGAGCGCTAGCCTTGAGCTGAAGAGCTGAGGGACAGCGCCCAGGCCCAGAGTTCAGGCCCCACGACCGGACCCCCCCCAAAAAAAAGAAAAGTCAGGGTGAGACTCTATCTCTAATTAACCACTCAAAAACCCGGAAGTGGAGCTGTGGCTTAGCTGTGGGTAGAGTGCTAGCCTTGAGCCAAAGAAGCTCAGGGAGAGCACCCAAGCCCTGAGTTCAAGCCCCACAACTGACCCCCCCAAAATAAAAAATCTATTGGGATATAGATTAAGATGACTGACTGGATGGAGGGAAGAAGTAGAAGATGAAGACACAGATCAACAGATTCTGGATTTTGGCTTTATCATCGATAGCCCTAGCCAATTACTCAAGTTATGTCTGACTCAGTTTCCCTAATCTTGAAAGTGAAACGACAAAGCCGAGCGCCGGTGGCTCACACCTAGCTACCCAAAGGAGGTTGAAATCTGAAGATCACAGTTCAAAGCCAACCCTGACAGAAAAGTCCATAAGACTCTTATCCAATTAACTAGCTTAAAAAAAAGGCCCTGCAGCTCACATGGTACGCCTTGAGTAGTTCAAACCCAGTACAGGCACAAACAAAAAAAGAAAGGGAGGGAATCATTGCGGAGAAGCCCAGGGTACAGGTGAGGTCTAACAGGATCACCGCAGAGCCCGCGTTGAGGGCGAGGGGCGGGACAAAGGGGAAACCGGAAGCAGCCTTGAGCTAAGGATTGCGGAACGCACTAAGAGGAGAAGACCAATCACAAATGTGAGGGGCGGTGCTTAGCCAGGCCAAGAGCCCCGCCTGCCGCGCACGCGCGCTGAGTTCCGGGCTCTGTGAGGCCGGGGGCGGGACTACGTGGTTGCGTCACGCGCCGGACCCTGCCGCGCGCCTGCGCTCCTTTCCACGTGCGAAAGCTTGCTCCTGACTCGTGGAGTCTGGGACGCCACAAACTCCTCGGAGCCGAGCAACTACAGCGCCCACCACCATGAAGCCAGGTGCGGTCCGGAGCTGGGGCCAGGGGTCCAGGCAGGGGTGCAGGGAGACGGGCGGGAATCGGAGGGGCGGGGCCTTGGCCTAGGGCCCGGCGTTCTGAGCGCGGGATCCGGTCTCGTGTGGGGATGGGGATCCCAGGTCGGCCCTAGGATCGATCCTGACCCCTGACCCCTGACCTCTGACCCCAGGCCTGGTGGGGGGGGGGAGTTGTGACCGGATTTGGAGGTCACGGTCGCCTTGGCCTGTGGCCGTTGTGGGGCTGTGACTGGAGGGGTCTTGACCTGGGTTTCGTGGATTAGAGGCGGTCAACAGGATTGTTGAGTTTGGGCCAGGGTTATTGCTCGGAAATCCCAAGTCATTGTCCGGATTCCAACATCTTCCAGGGTCTTGAATGAATGGATTTTGGGGTTCTGGCTAGAGACCCAGATACTGAGACCGGGAGCTGGCTCTAAGGGATCCTCCGACTTCTCTCCCGCACCACCACCACCATCCCTCGGATCTCAAGCCCTCCGAGCTGAACACCCTGTCCCCATATTCTGTGCCTGACCAAGACTCTGGTCCACTTTGCCACCTCCACTTGCTTTTTCCCTTGAGCTACAACCCGACCCTTTTGTGTGAATTTTGTTGTTTTGGTTTTTGTATTAGTACCTGGGCAGTGTCCTCTTACTCAGCTTTCTTTTATGGCTAGCATTCTACCACTTGAGCCACACCTCCAGGTCAACGTTTTGCTGGTTAATTAGAGACGGAATCTGTATTACAGACTTTTCTTCTAGGGCTAGCTTTGAACTCGGGTGCTCCAGGTCTCAGCCTCCAGAGTAGATGGGTTTACAGGCGCACACGGTCATACCTGGCTTTTTTTTTTTTTTTAGTTTTTAAAGTTAGAGTCCTTCCTGGTGTCTTGGAAATTCCTAAATCAGGCTTTCCCAACCCCCCTATCCTGTCTTGGAGAACTTGCTTCCCTAAGTTGGGGGAAATTTTAACAGTTCCCAAAATTGTCTGTCTGCCTCATTTGAGTTGTTTTGTGTGTGCATGTGTGTATATGTGTGTACAAATAAAGTCACTTGCACATAGTTTGAGGAATCTCTCCCCATTCCTCAGTGTTTGGGGATCTCATGAAATAGGGTTGAGGGTTGCTAGACTGTGTACTGTGCTAAGACCCTGACATCTCTGCAAGCACCCTTGTGGGCTGCTTTTCCTCAGGAATCAGTTTGTGTTTTCTTCCCTCCTACCTTTAATCCAGAAACTCATTCCTCTGTTTTGAATCATAGCATTCAAACTGCGAGGCAGACCGTGTGTTTATCTCCTGTACTTTGTGTTCAGCTATTTACTCTTTCCAACTTAATGAGGTGGGAATTGACTCCTTGGCAACCTTGCCTGCTCCCTAGTGTCCTCAGTGGTGATGACATGGCCATCTTCCTATACCAAGACAACTGATCACTGTCTGACCCCTGCTTTCTGGATGGAAAGAGGTGCTTTCTCCAAGAGGCAGGACCAGAGACTGGAGAATCACGCACAAACACTGTCTCCTTTAATGTTTATTGATCCCCTATTTTGTGTTGGATACAGAGATGGCACTGGGGATGTAATGGTTACTGAAAACAACGGAAAATCCTCTAGTTGGTGCAGAGACCTGCATGAATAGAAAGCCAAGGCTATGCCCCAGTGGCAGGACCCTAGGCAGTGGGATGGGAAGAGAGTGTAATGCCCCACAAATGCCCAAAGCAATGAAACCAGCATCTCTGAGTAGGTCCCAGAACTTAGGAGAGTTTGGACACTCTGTTGTATGGCTTTGTAAGTCAGGAAAAGGAATTTGGATTTCATTTTGGATGTGGTGGAAGCCCTTGGAGGGATTTGGTCAGAGAAATGACCTGCCTGGGAGAGATCAGCAACTGGCTGCTGTGTGGAAAGCTGACAGTAGAGGGAGCAGAGGATAAAAAGTGAACAGTGTTACATTAGGTTACGGAGTTTGGAAATTCAACTGTGGTCTGAGATCTAACCCCAGGACCACAATCCATCAATAGAAAATAACTAGCAAGCCGGGCGCCGGTGTTTCACGCCTGTAATCCTAGCTACTCCGGAGGCTGAGATCTAGGATTGCGGTTTAAAGCCAACACAGGCAGGAAAAGTCAGAGACTCTTGTCTCCAATAAACCACTCAGAAAGCTGTAAGTGGCACTGTGACTCAAGTGGTAGAACACTAGCCTTGAGCTGAAGAGTTGAAGGACAGCGCACAGGCCCAGAGTTCAAGCCCCACCACCGACAGAAAGAAAGGGAGGGAAGTAGGGAAGGGAAGGGAGAAAATAGCAAAGTATATAGTAGCTTGCACTTGTAATCCCACTTGTCATCAAGAACCTGCATCTCAAACAGGCCTGTGGTGGCAACCTCTGTGGTCCCAGCTACCCAGGTAGGAGGATTTCAGTCTGGGACCTGCCCAAAAAAACAAACAAAACAGACACAAGACTCTCTGAAAAAAAAAAATAAAGGATGGACAGACACTTGCATGTCTCAGGTGATAAGACTATTGCTCAGAAAGTGTGAGGCCCTGAATGCAAACCTACTTCTTCCAAAATAAATAAGTAGATGAGGCTGGGAAGGTGGCTCAGTGGTAGAGTGCTTGCCCTTGCATGCGTGAGGCCCTGGGTTCGATTCCTCAGCACCACATAAGCAGAAAAACCAGGAGGTGGTGCTGTGGCTCAAGTGGTAGAGTGCTAGCCTTGAGCTGAAGAGCTGAGGGACAGCACCCAGGCCTAGAGTTCAGGCCTCACGACCGACCAAAAAAAAAAAAAAGTAGTTGTATGGAGGAGTTTTAATTCAGCAGGTCAGATTATGACTATAATGTATCTTGATTTGTTGGTTAATTTTGAGATAGAGTCTCCATCCCTTTCCACGCATCCACCTGGAATGTGATCCTCCTATTTTTTTATTTCCCTGTGTAGCTGGAAGTCTGACGGACTTTTGTGCCTAGGTTGGCTTGAGACTTCGTTTTTCCAATCTCAGCCTTCCACATAGCTAGTGTTGCAGGTGTGAGCCACCAGCACCCAGCTGTAAATTTATTATTGAGTAAGTTATTTCAAGGAAGATCATTTTAGCTGTCATTAAGTTTCAAACTGATCATGCAAACTAAAGTGATTTTTTTTTTTCCAGAGTAGTACTTCAGAGCTTTTGAAACCATCACAGAAAAATCAAATATTGAGTCGATTAGTACCAGAACTCTGTCTGCTTTGAACATTGTTTTATGTAATCGAAAAAAGTTTGCTCTGACCTGAAACAACAAAAACAAAAGTTTTCCAAGTTGATGTTCAACTTGGTGGTGGTTGTAGGGCTTGAACTCAGGACCTTGGTGCTGTCTCTAAGCTCTGTTTTGCTCAAGGCTAGTGCTTTACTACTTCGAGCCACAACACTTCCAGTTTTCTGGTGCTTAATTGCAGATAGGAGTCTTCTTGCCTGGGGTTTGCTTCAAAATACAATTCTCTGATCCCAACCTTTTGAGTAGCGGGATTATAGGCGTGAGCCACCAGCACCTGGCTTGTCTTCAGCTTTATTTTACTGACCACTCCTAAAGCACCTGTTGACTATTGGTCATCCTTGAAGGACAGTTGGTTGTTGTTTTCCCATGGGCTGGGTGAACATTGCAAGCTTGGAAACAGATAAACGAGCAGGGGACTGTATGTTGCCAACATCCATTTGGATATTAGCACTTCTTTCCAGCCATGGGGGAGGGGGGTATGAAAATGTGTTTCCCAAGGTTTGGTGGGGATCCTATGGCCACAGGACCTGCACACTTTCTGGACTCAACTGAAATTGACAGTGGGTGAGTTTGGGTGGGCCAACAATCCCACATCCATCCTAACCCTCTGGTGTGAGCTTGACCTATCAGTGATCTGGCTTACAAATTTAATCTTTGTCTACCCTCACCATATTTTGAGGGAGAAAGGGAGTTACCCCATACACTAACCTAGCTCAACATTGGTGAATTTTACTTGTTGTGCAGCTTTACAAAGGATATTACAAGGCAGGTACCAGTGACTCACAACCTACAATCCTAAACCACTCAGGAGACTGAGATTTGAAGATCAGGGTTCAAAGCACGCCTGGGCAGGAAATTCTGTGAAACTCTTATTCCCCAGTGAACCGCCAGAAAACCGGAAGTGGAACTGTGGTTCAAATGGTAGCATGCTAGCCTCAGGCACAAAAGCTCATGCACAGTGGGCTGGGAAGGTGGCTCAATGGTAGAGCACTTGCCTTGCATGCCTGAGGCCCTGGGTTCGATTCCTCAGCACCACATAAGCAAAAAAAAGAAAAAAGCCAGAAGTGGCCCTGTGGCTCAAGTGGTAGAGCGCTAGCCTTGAGCTGAAGAGCTGAGGGACAGCGCCCAGGCTCAGAGTTCAGGCCCCATGACCGGACCCAAAAAAAAAAAAGCTCATGCACAGTACACAGGCCCTGAGTTCGAGCCCAAGGACCTGCTTAAAAATGAATAAGACCAGATAGATCTGTGTTCTGTGGTAAGGTCATTGGCATGGTCAATAGTGGCTATTTCTCATTGTATTGGTCCATTGTTTCTGATGGACACTTCCGTGGTCATCCTGCATTTGCTGCTGCTGCTACATTCATTCCATTATCCTGTCCGGAACCGCCAGGTAAGGTTGGTTTAGCCTGTTAACCTTCATCACCCTGATTCCTGTCTTTTGTTTCCACTGCAGGCTTCAGCCCCCGTGGGGGAGGCCGAGGAGGCTTTGGTGACAGAGGCGGTCGAGGCGGAGGCCGAGGAGGCTTTGGCGGGGGTCGCGGGGGCTTTGGCGGAGGCCGTGGGGGCTTTGGTGGGGGGCGAGGGCGAGGTGGAGGCTTCCGGGGCCGAGGTGGCGGCGGCGGTGGAGGAAGAGGTGAGTGAAGACAGCAAGTAGGGACATGGCCTTTTATGGGGTGTGGGGAGGGAAGAGACGGGGGTGGGCAGGGGGCTTTCTTTCCTACTGCTGCTTTTCCTGGTGTAGGTGGAGGCTTCCAGGGTGGGGGCAACCGGGGTCGTGGCCGGGGAGGAAAGAAAGGAAACCAGTCCGGGAAGAATGTGATGGTGGAGCCCCATCGACACGAGGGTGAGTAAGGAAGTATGGGACTGGGGGAGGGGAGCCCCAAGACTGGAGGAAGCCGGGAGCCCACAGGTCTCAGCCTTTCCCCTTCCCAACCTCCCCCACCAGGTGTCTTCATTTGCCGCGGAAAGGAAGATGCACTGGTCACCAAAAACCTGGTCCCTGGAGAATCTGTTTATGGAGAGAAGAGAGTCTCCATCGCGGTGAGAGAGGGTCCCTGTCCACCCCAGGCCAGGCAGCCGAGGATCTTAACATGGCTCCCTCCAGATCCTGATGGCTCTCCCTGGCCTTCTCACCGTCATCTGTCTGTGCTCTGTGCTTCCTGTCTCCTCTCCTGGCCTGATCTTCTGCCTCCATACCACGCGTTACTAAAGGCAGGATCTGTGTTTTCTGCACTGATGGGTCCCAGTGTCAGGGACAGGAAATGATGACAGAGTGCCCGATCTTACTGCTCCTCCTTGGCGTTGGTTGTCTGTTGCTCTTCTCTTCTCCTGGGGTCAGCATCCTCCGGGGCAAGGCAGGGCTGCGTCTGTCATCCCTGCTGTGTACCCACGTGTGGTTGTGACTGGACCCACCCCATTTCATCTGAGGGATGTGGGGTCCTGCAGAAGGACCCAGCACTGACTTCCTCCCATTCATCTCTCCCGGGCCAGGAGGGAGATGACAAAATTGAATACCGAGCCTGGAACCCCTTCCGTTCCAAGCTGGCCGCAGCAATCCTGGGTGGCGTGGACCAGATCCATATCAAGCCCGGAGCCAAGGTGCTGTACCTTGGGGCCGCCTCAGGCACCACCGTCTCCCACGTCTCTGACATCGTAGGCCCGGTGAGTGGATGGGTGTGACAAGGAGGAGGCGAAAGCTGCCTCCCCTAGGCCAACTCGGAGTGGGGCTTGGCTGCTTTCCCGTGCTGAGGTGCTGGGCTGGGCCTTTGCCTGTAAGTGCCTTACTCACAGCTGGGAGGAATTAAGCTCAGCATCTCAAAGGCCTAACCTCATTCAGCAATGCTCCTGGATTCTCTTGCCAGAAGAGTGTGGGTGTAGCTGACCCATTGCATAGAGATATTGCACTATTTAAGTTTGTCCTCTTTACAAAGAAATCCTTTCTCCAAGGTTGGGGTCTGGTTCAAATGGTAGGACTTATCCTAGAAAGAGCAAGCCAGAAGCCCTAGTTCAGATATCACCAGCAAAGAAAAGGCCCTGCCTCAAAAATCTAGTCTTCTGATTTCCCTTGAGAGAACTAGTTGTCATGGTTCTGGCTTGCATTTTTCTGTATGGTTCCCCCTGGAATTCCGTGTAGAGAGCACTGGGCACCCAGGTTCATTTATTTCATGATCTTTTCTTATTTATACAATTAGAGGCTGTTTAACTTGGTAGTGAAAACTCTGAGGCCCATCCAGGCATAATGGTGCCCCCTGTAATTCCAGCACTTGTAGGCAGAAGCAGTGGGATCATGAGTTCAAGGCCAGCCTAAACTATGTAGGGAGACCCTGTCACAAACACACATTCAGGGTCTGTGGTAGATATTTGACAATCCTATGGCTTTTGGCAAGGTGTGCCTCACCTTTCTGGGCCTCAGTTTAACCCTCTGGAGAATGAGTTGTGAAAATTAAACATGTAAATTTGTCTCATTTCCTGGGCCCAGTGTAAATGCCTTTAGCTCTTCTGTTTTTGTTTGTTTTTTGCCAGTCCTGGGGCTTGAATTTTAGGCCTGGGCACTATCCCTGAATTTCTTTTTGCTCAAGGCTAGCACTCTACCACTTGAGCCACAGTGCCACTTCCAGCCTTATCTGAGTAGTTTATTGGAGTTAAGAGTCTCGTGCACTTTCCTGCCCTGGGCTGGCTTTGAACCACAATTACAGGTGTGAGCCACCAACACCTGGTCCTTATTTTTTATAGTGGGGCTTGAACTGTGGGCTGGGCTTTGCATGCTCACTTGGCTTTTTTGATCGAAGCTGGCTACCACTTGAGCTACAGCTCCACTTACAGCTTTTTGCTGGCTAATTGAACTCAGATTTATCTGCCCAGGTTGGCTTTGAATCACAGTCCTTAAGGATCTGAATAACTTAAGATTCTAAATAGGAGGCACTAGAGTCTTGCTTGGCTGCCTGGTTTTAAGCCTCTGTTGGGAACTTGGGTTTTGGGGTTCAACAAAGTGGGATTGTATAGTTTGGCTGTTTAGCTAGTCATTTCCTGTCTCAGCCTGACTTTTAAGGAATATGGGCATAATATCCGTAAGTGGTGGGTGTTGAAGTGCTGTGTAGTAGGAGCCTAGAAGTAAGCCCTGCATATATGAGCCCCGTGCAGTACCATTGTAAACTGTTCGTGGGTTCACTTCAGGATGGTCTGGTCTACGCGGTCGAGTTCTCCCACCGCTCTGGCCGGGACCTCATTAACTTGGCCAAGAAGAGGACCAATATCATTCCTGTGATTGAGGACGCCCGGCACCCACACAAATACCGCATGCTCATCGGTGAGGGGGTCTGGAGAAGGGGTGGCCCTGGGCAGGTAGGACAGCAGCTCCAGCTTTCCCTGGGAGAGGCCTGTGGAGTTAGAATGGGTGAGCGGGCAGCTGGACCGCGGGAGTGGAAAGTTGAGGGTGGCCCAGTGAGAGGTGGCAGTGGCAACGCTGCCTCCGTGCGTTGGGGTGTCTGATCTCCTCCCTCCTCAGGACCCTGTGCTTCCTGCCTCCCTCCAAAACACCATGCCTTAGTCACCGCCCGTGGCTTCCATTTGAAAGCCTCTTTCCAGGGAACATATTATCGGGTGAGACCCTATCACAGAAAGCACAAACTTGAGTTGTGGCCTGGCCCAGAGGGGCCCATTTTGAAATTTAATGACGTTATTTTTTTTTTTTAACAATTTTGAAAAGTCTAGTACAAACATGGGAAAGCCTTGCAAATCATCCCCGGAGGTAATTGATGAGAGCATCTGCTACCCACTTTTCCCACTTCTTAAAGAAACCATTATTTTCTTTGTATCCACACTTCATGAAAAATAAAAGACTTCCATTCCATTCATTTTTTTTTTTCTTTAAGTATTGTTTTCCCTGCACTTACCACTTCCTCCTCCCCCCCCCCCCCAGCTTATTTTCATGTGAAGTCCTGCACATGCTCTTGCCTTTAATTGCTCACCTTTGCTGTCTTTTGATGACGTGTCTGTCTTCCCCTCCTCACCCCCCCAGACCCTGGAGCATCTCGAGGGCAGGGTCCGGGTCTGACTCGTCTCTGTGTCCCCCACGCCCAGCCCAGGGCTGGCCACAGAGTAGGTGGCATCCGTGGTTTACAAAAGGGTGGAGTGATTGTGGGTTTTGGACCCATCTTAGGGGTACTCTGGAGGGAGGTGGATCAGTGGGGGGGTGGGAAGTAAGACTGGAGGCAGGGGGTCCCCCAGGAACCTGCTGATGATGGAGCACACACAGTTCCCATGGGAGGGTCTGGGAAGATCTATGATGGGTCTAACTGGAAACTGCCACTTTTTTCTCCTAGCAATGGTAGATGTGATCTTTGCCGATGTGGCCCAGCCAGATCAAACCCGGATTGTGGCCTTGAATGCCCACACCTTCCTGCGGAATGGAGGACACTTTGTGATTTCCATTAAGGTATGGGGAGGTGTCTTTTTGCATTTAAAAACCAGTCTACTGGGCTCCAGTGACCCATGCCTGTAATCCTAGCTACTTAGGAGGCTGAGCTCTGAAGAAAGCAGGAAAGGCTGAGATTCTACACAGAAAAGGCTGGAAGTGGCACTGTGACTCAAGTGGTAGAGCTAGCCTTGAGCTAATGAAGCTTATGGACAGCTCCCAGGCCCTGAGTTCAAGCCCCAGGACCGATATTATAACTATGTAACTTTGAGCCATGACTTAACCTACCTTTATGACTCATTTCTTAGTTTTATCTCAGTTAAAGGTAGATGTGAGGTTTAAATGATTCAACATATGTTTACTGTTGGAAGCAGATCCTGGCACAGAATGTGTGTTTTGATGGTAGATGTATTTTTTCCAAAATAATTTGTAATACAGAAAACTCCCATGTGTCTTTCAACCAGGTCAGAATTTGTTAGCCTTTTCCTCTTTTAATGTAAACTACATGTATCTTAATTTCTTGGTAGAGAAAATGGTGACAAAAATTTTATTAACATACATTGGCCATACTAGGGGAGATTTCATTGTGACATTTCCATGCATATACACAATATATTCCAATTTCTCCCCACTATGCTCTCCCTTACCTGTCTCTGTCAAGTGTGTGTGTTGAGAGAGGGGGTCCTGGGGCTTGAACTTGGGGCCTCAGCATTGCCCCTGAGATTTTTGGCTCAAGGCACAAGCACTGTACCAGTTGAACCACAGCTCCACTCCCAGCTTTTGGTGATTAATTGAAGATGAGTATCTCTGATTTGTCTGCCCCAGGGCTGGGCTTTGAACTGTAATCCTCAAATCCCAGCCACCTGGGTAGCCACCCGTGGGGTGGACGGCCCTGAGACCCTGACTCTCTGCAGGCCAACTGCATCGACTCCACTGCCTCGGCGGAGGCCGTATTCGCCTCAGAGGTGAAGAAGATGCAGCAGGAGAACATGAAGCCCCAGGAGCAGCTGACCCTAGAGCCCTACGAGAGAGACCACGCGGTGGTGGTAGGCGTGTACAGGTGAGTGGGGCCTGCGGGTCAGCCCAGCAGCCCTCTGGGCCGTGGTTGGGGGCCTGGGGACCCCGCAGCCAGATGACAAGCTGTCTCCTGTTGCCAGGCCACCTCCCAAGGTGAAGAACTGAAGCTTCAGCTCCGGGTGGTTCTGCTCCGGGTGGTTCTGAGGAATGTGCTGCTGCTGTTGCACGTGGGATTGTTTTTCTATTAAAAGACTCTTCTGACGCCTGTGTGCCCGCTGCCCATCGCTCCGCCCGGACGCACCACAGGGACACGCGTGCGCGCTCGCTGGCCGGGCAAGAAAGCCGTTGTGGTGGGGGTTGGGATGGCCTGCCCGGCCACAAGGCGCATGCTCCTTTCCTAGTAGTGACGTGTGCGGCCGGAACCTTAGGCCCTCGGGCCTGATTGGTTGCTAGCTACGCATGTGCACCAATAAGCACCTGGAGAGCGCAGGCGCCAACAGCGGTCTGTGTCACGTGACGGGAGCGGTGGGGGGCTGGGGGCGGAGCCCGGGGCAGGGGGGCCGGTTTGTTGTGGTCGCCATTTTGCTGGTTGCATTACTGGGTAATCAGGGCCCTGGCTCTTCGCGTCCGCTGGATACCCTCGGCCCGTGGGCAGGTCTGAGCTCGGGCTGCCCGAGCGGTTTGAGTCCCCTTACCCGCGCCCCCAGGTAACGACGCGGTGACGGCGGGGAGGCGGCAGGGGTTCTCGGGGAGGGTAGGACGGGATCCGCCCTGCCCGGCACCGCCGCGAGAATTAGCACGAGGCTGCGGGAAAGAGGGGGCGTCGGGCAGGTGCGGGCCGGGTCCGACTATTCAGAGTCGGATTCCTGGAAGGGGCCGGGCCCGCGGGAGCCTTCTGAAGAGGGAGGTCGGGAGGGGGTGGTCGGGCCCCACTCCCGCCCTTTGTTTGGGCTCGGCTTCGTCGGCCGCTTCTTCGTCGCCTAGCAACAGCTGCCCTGGGCTGCGATTGGCTGGGCTCTTGGCAGGGACGACCAATGGCACCGTTGTTGCCATGGGAGGTGCGGCTTGCCAAGCTCAGTTGGGCCCCGCCTGCCGGGCATTGCCGGCCGGGGCGGGCCTCCTGGGTAGGGGGGGCGGGACAGCGGGGTCCCCAGGGGCGGGTGACCGCTAGGGGCGGGGCGGGGCCGGTGGGGCGAGGGTTAACCCGCCCCTCCCCCGTCCACCTGCTCTCCCCCTTCCCCCGCATGACCCGGGCTGACCCTCCCCCTTCCTACCCCCAAGCAGCGGTGGCGGCGGCGGCTGCTGTTGTCACCCACCGGCCGCCTGTCCCGCTTGCCCTCCTCGCTGCAGGGTTTGCCGGGCCGGCAGGGCCGGGGACAGGCGGCCACCTTCTGACCGCTGCCACCACCGCCATGCTGGCCATTCGCCCACCCCACTGGGGGCCCCACCGCGCCCCAGCCCCCCGTGGGCCCGGTGCCAGCCCTGACCAGGGTATGGGGTGGGGGCTGGGAGAGGCGCTCCTGGGGTGGGAAGACTATGGGGAGGGGGAGGGGGGGAATGGCAGCGGGAGGACTTGTTTTGGTAGGAAATCCCAAGAAAGTAGGAGTCCTGGAGTGGTAGAGTATGGGATTAAGGTATCTGATATGGAGAGAGAACCGATGGCAGAGACTTTATTTTAGTGGACACTTGGGAGGGGAGATCTCCAGTTTGGGGGTATTTGGCTGTGGAGGCCTTCTAGGAATAGACACAGTGGCGGCAAGACCCAATATAGAAAGGGGTGACTGGAGAAAGGAGTGCTAGAAATATTGGATAGTGTACGGGATGTCCAGTGTGAGGGCAGAAAGGACAATCGCTCTAGACTGGGAAAACACTTTCTTCTGCTCCCATGAGGAGTGGGCCTTGCCTGGGAGGGGGTCTGGGGTAATGTGGGGACTCTCCTGATGTGGCCCAGAGGGAATGGAATATATATATAGGGGCACTACCTGGAGGGGAGGGTCCTTGGTGTGAGAGACCTGATACAGAAGACGTTTTGGAAGGATATGGAGAGTCCCCTGGGAAAGGTGCACCCTGTGGTCAAGAAAGCCTAGTAGTCATACTCTTACATAGGGGTCCAGGAGACCCTCAAGAACCCTGATATGGTTTTAGGGATGCATGGTCTTAGAGCTGCCATGGTTTAGGGAAAGCTAGAATTCTCAGGCTTGGGGAAACCACTGAGAAGAGTAGGCTTGAAGTGAAGGGATGCATGGTATAGAAGAGACCCAGCTACTAAAGGAAGACTAAGACAGTGGGGTCCTGTGTGAGGGGCCCTGGAAAAGAGCCAGGTGTAGACCTGGAGAAAAGAATGAACTCTACTCCCCAGACTGCTGTTTTCCTCCTCTTCCCTCCTCCCAATGATTGGTGTCTTTCTGTCCCCCTTTCCTGTCATGGCCTACATCTGCCTCCTCCCACCCCCGTCTGGCCCCAATCATTCTCTTTCACATGTGTGCTGTCTCATTTACTTACTTGATCTTCATTTGTCGAGGGACTTTGCTGTTCCCCTGCCACTTCTGTGTTGCTACCTGTTGCCCTGCTGCACCTTTTGCTTTCCCTCTTCTCTGCCTTCCTCCTCATACCCACCTCTCCCCTGCCTGCTCCTGTCCTCCACACCCTCTTTCCATGTCATCTCTTCATCTCCCCCCTGCTCTCAGGTCTCAGCGGCGGTGGCAGCCGAGGTGCAGGATGCGAGAAGGCGCCCCCCGGCCGGGCTCCCGCTCCAGGCCTCGCACCCCTGCGGCCCTCTGAGCCCACCATGGCCGTTCCACCAGGCCATGGCCCCTTCTCTGGCTTCCCGGGGCCCCAGGAGCACACACAGGTAGGCATTCAGCTGGCTCCTCACCTGCCTGAGGGTAGATGGAGGCTGGGATAGATGGGTCTCAGTACACAATCTGATTGCACATGAGTCTCCGAAGGACCTCATGGGCCTCAAAGGACTGAAAGAGTTCCAGGCAGAGGTAAGAGTTTGGACAGCCTGGGTACAAATGCTGCCCTGCCTGGTGACTATCCACCACTGTGGTTCTTCATATATGTCACCTCTTCTGTAAGACTGGACCACTGATGACCCTTCCCTCCCTCCCAGTGTGCGAGGATCAAACAAATGCTCAGAACAGGTCTTGGCACATGGCCATTTAAATGCTAAGAGGTCTAGAGCAAAAGGCAAGTGGGAAAGACAGGCGAGCTGAAGACAAGCTACAGACAAGATCCAAGGACAGAATCTCTAAGGCTAAGACATCAAAACAAAATGGAGCCTGGAAACTATGATCCTAGCTACACAGGAAGCTAAGAGCTGGAGGATGATGGTTCAAGACTCCATCTCCAGAATAACGAGTAAAAAGCAGAGCTTGAGGCATGGCTCAAGAGGCATAGAACACCAGTCAGGAGCTGCAAACCCTAATACTGCTACACACACACACACACACAAGCAAAATGGAGGAGCTGCAAACCCTAATACTGCTACACACACATACACACACACACACAAGCAAAATGGATGGGAGATCCAGGGATCCACATCCTGAGGCCAAGAGCCTTGAGGTGAAGGTTAAAGGCTAGAAGTTAAATCCCAGGGGGAAGAGGAGCTCAACTATTGGATGTCCAGAGTGGTCTCAGGTAGAAGGCTTGTGGGGAAGGGGGCAGGGAGGAGGTAACAGTGCCAGGCTTCTGAAATATTGCTCCCACTGAAGCTCAGGAGTAAAAGCTGGGAATGTGGCTTAGTGGTGCAGTGCTTGCCTAGCATGCATGAAGCCCTGGATTCAATTCCTCAGTACCACATACACAGAAAAAACTGAAATTGGTGCTGTGGCTCAAGTGGTGGAGTGCTAGCCTGGAGCAAAAGAAGCTCAGGGACAGTGCCCAGGCCCTAAGTTCAAGCCTCAGGACTGGGGAAAAAACAAAAGCATGCAGGGCTGACTTCAGGCCAGCCTGAAAGGTCAGAAGTAAACTCACAGCTTCACTCGGGAAAGCTTACTAGGGAACACCCCCTGTGTGCCAGGCCCTGCTCAAGGTGCTGGAGATAGATGGCAGCCAGGACCAGATCTGTGCCCTTGGGGAGCTTACATTCTAGTGGGGGGCCAGTGATGAGAAAGTACATGTGGTCACCAGGGACCAGCAGCCCTTAATTAGCCCTCCCCTTAGAGTTGGGAGGGGAAGGCCTGTCCTCAGCATCTGCCCCCCCTGCCCCACAGACATTGCCTGATGTGCGGCTGCTGCCTCGGAGGCTGCCGCTGGCCTTCCGGGATGCCACTTCAGCCCCCCTGCGCAAGCTCTCTGTGGATCTCATCAAGACCTACAAGTACATCAATGAGGTGGGCAGGGAGCCAGGCGCCTGGGCAGGGCGCCCAGGGGTCTTGGCTGCTGGCACAGGTCACTCACCAGTCCTTGTCTCCTGGCCACCTGGCTGGGCAGGTGTACTATGCGAAGAAGAAACGGCGGGCCCAGCAGGTGCCACCCCAGGACTCGAGCACCAAGAAGGAGAAGCGGGTCCTGAACCATGGTTACGATGACGACAACCATGACTACATTGTGCGCAGTGGCGAGCGCTGGCTGGAGCGCTACGAGATTGACTCTCTGATTGGCAAAGGCTCCTTTGGCCAGGTGCGGGCAGGAGGTGGGGGCACCGGCACCTGCTGATAGGAGCCCACATTCACACTGTGGCTCTGTGGCTTCAAGTCTTGTGCAGGACCACTCACCTCAGTCCAGCCACTTAGTTGTGCCTCAGTTTACTTTTCTGGAGAAGTAGAAATAACCAGAGACTGCATACAAGAGAACTTACTTTGCACCCAGTGTTGATACCAGTGTCCACTGAGGGTGAACCCTCAGCCAGGAGTCGTTGGTTGGAGGACCAGTGTAGTTGGTGGGTCTCCTGGCTGGAGGGAGAAGCTCAGCATGTGGCTCTGACCCCCTCCTCATCTGGTGCTGTGTCCCCCCCCAACAGGTGGTGAAAGCCTATGATCATCAGACCCAGGAGCTGGTGGCCATCAAGATCATCAAGAACAAAAAGGCCTTCCTGAACCAGGCACAGATCGAGTTGCGGCTGCTGGAGCTGATGAACCAGCATGACACAGAGATGAAGTACTACATAGGTAAGACCTGGAGCTGGCTGGCTTCCGCACAGAGCACCTGGGTTTGCCAGCAGGCTGGGGTCCTCCACTTCAGTGGTTCTCTGGATTCCCCTGCCTCCTTTGCGATTATTCCTGTTTGCTTGGTAAAAGTGGTCAGTGTTTACCAGGCTCTGCTGTGAGCAGGTCACATCAATCACCTCCCTTACAGCTCACATTCTTGCCCATGTTGGAGATAAGAAACTGAGGAACTGGGTATTGTCACTTGCATGAGGTGACAGTTTGTGGCAGCAGAGCTTTAATTTGATGACTGGGGGTGGGGGGGTGGTCCTATTAGAAAGAGTGTGTAGATTGTATTTTATAAGGAGAGCAAATGGAAAAGCACCTTTCCGCTCCACAAAACTCACAAAAATGGTGTTATATTTTAAATGTGAAGTGTTAAAAGGCCTGCTGAGAGCAAATAGAAAGTTTTTGGTTTAATCAGAGGTTTGGCAGAGCCCAAGGGACAGTAAGTGAGCCAGTTCCTTGCCATTAGAAACATTGTGGCGAGCTGGTGGCACCCAAGGGCATAGCAAGGGGGCATGGCTGGGAAGAAACAGATTAATTCCTGTGTGGGCCCTCCCCTGGCAGTGCACCTGAAGCGGCACTTCATGTTCCGGAACCACCTGTGCCTGGTGTTCGAGCTGCTGTCCTACAACCTGTATGACCTCCTGCGAAACACACACTTCCGAGGCGTCTCGCTGAACCTGACCCGGAAGCTGGCGCAGCAGCTCTGTACAGCGTTGCTCTTCCTGGCCACGCCCGAACTCAGCATCATCCACTGCGACCTCAAGCCAGAGAACATTCTCCTCTGCAACCCCAAGCGCAGTGCCATCAAGATCGTGGACTTCGGCAGCTCCTGCCAACTTGGCCAGCGGGTGCGGCTCAGACCTGCTGGGGCAAGGGCGTGGGAGGGGCAGAGTGGGGCGGGGCCAGCAGTGGAAGGAGATGGCTCCAGGATGTGGGAAAGGAGGTAGGAGAGAGGCCCACAGGGTGAGGGTACTGCCCACCAGGAAGAGGAACTTGAGTCTGAGGAGTAAGGCCAGTTCTGTAGCTCCAGCTGTGATGTTGGAGTTGGCTGGTCACAGGTCTGGTGCTGCTCAGTGAGCAGGCCTAAGTTATACTAGTGTTGGGGCCCTGGGGACCACCAGCCTGTGACTGGGGGTGACCTAGAAGGCCACGGAAGGGGACAGCCACAGGCTGCTGAGCAAGATGGTGCCGGAGGCTCCTAGGCAGGAATGCTGAGAGCTATGACAGCAAGGGGCTGGTGCTAGGTCAGATCTCCCACCACCTGGGAGCCCTGACCGTTCTATTCCCTCTAGATCTATCAGTACATCCAGAGCCGCTTCTACCGCTCCCCGGAGGTGCTCCTGGGCACACCCTACGACCTGGCCATCGACATGTGGTCCCTGGGCTGCATCCTGGTAGAGATGCACACTGGGGAGCCTCTCTTCAGTGGCTCCAATGAGGTGCGCCCTCAGGACGGGGTGTGCCGGAGGGGGCAGGAGGGGACCTGGTTGTACTGGGGCCCCTGACCACCACCTGCCCGCAGGTGGACCAGATGGGCCGCATTGTGGAGGTGCTGGGCATCCCACCAGCCCCCATGCTGGAGCAGGCCCCCAAGGCTCGCAAGTACTTTGAGCGGCTGCCTGGGGGTGGCTGGACCCTACGCAGGACAAAGGAACTCAGGAAGGTGCGCCCTGCCCCATGCCAGCCCTCCTTCCCTGGGTGGCCCTCACTCTCACACTTGGGGCTCCCTCTCTTCCCTGCTTCCTCTGTGTCTTTCCCTGCCTCCCTCCCACCCCCAATTGTCTGCCCTCTCCTTCCTTCCCTGCCCTCCCTGCACCTTGTCTTAGCTTCTCTGTTTCCACTTTCTTTCTTGTGCCTCTGTTTCCCCGTGTGTGTCTCCCTGCCCCTCCTGCCCACTGACGGCCACTCTCTTGCCCCCCCTCCCACCCCCTCCCTGCCAGGATTACCAGGGCCCCGGGACACGGCGGCTGCAGGAGGTGCTGGGCGTGCAGACGGGCGGGCCCGGGGGCCGGCGGGCGGGGGAGCCGGGCCACAGCCCCGCCGACTACCTCCGCTTCCAGGACCTGGTGCTGCGCATGCTGGAGTACGAGCCTGCCGCCCGCATCAGCCCCCTGGGCGCCCTGCAGCATGGCTTCTTCCGCCGCACGGCCGACGAGGCCACCAACACGGGCCCGGCAGGCAGCAGTGCCTCCACCTCGCCCGCGCCCCTCGACACCTGCCCCTCCTCTAGCACCGCCAGCTCCATCTCCAGCTCGGGTGGGTGCTCAGCGCCCCGAGCTTCCAAACTGCCTGCTTCTCAGTTCCCAGCGGAGATGGGGTGGGGGGCTCCCCCTTCACGCTTGCTCAGACTCCTGAAATTGGTTCTGTAACAGCTAGAAAGACTCCCATTCCGCAGCTCAAAATTGGACTGGGGCTGGGAGCATGACTCAAGTGATAGAATACCTGCCCTTAGTTCAAACCCAGGAGGGCAAAAACAAAAAACAAAAAAAAAACACTGGATCTTTCAAAGGGGCTCTGTCCTAGAGCCCAAACCTGGCCTAGGCTGTGAACCAGGCTCAGTCACCTCTCACCTGTGCGGCCTCTTCTCCCTGGTGCTTCTAGGAGGTTCCAGTGGCTCCTCCAGTGACAACCGGGCCTACCGCTACAGCAACCGATATTGTGGGGGCCCTGGGCCCCCAATCTCTGACTGTGAGATGAACAGCCCCCAGGTATTGTGGGGGCTCTGTAAGTGGGTGTGGGGTACCAGAGGCTGCAGAACCTGGGTCTCCATCACCCCACCCCTTTTGCTTTTTTAGGTTCTGCCCTCCCAGCCGCTGCGCCCCTGGGCAGGGGGCGATGTGCCCCACAAGACACATCAAGCCCCTACCTCTGCCTCATCACTGCCGGGGACCGGGGCCCAGTTACCCCCCCAGCCCCGATGCCTTGGCCGTCCCCCATCACCAACCTCACCACCACCCCCGGAGCTGATGGATGTGAGCCTGGTGGGAGGCCCTTCAGACTCCCCACCTCACCCAGCGCCTGCCCCCCAGCACCCGGCTGCCTCAGCCCTCCGGACTCGGATGACAGGAGGTCGTCCACCTCTCCCACCCCCTGATGACCCTGCCTCTCTGGGGCCTCGCCTGGGCCTCCGTGGTGTACCCCAGAGCACAGCAGCCAGCTCATGACCCCGCCCCCTCTCTGGGGCCCTTCCTGAAGCCATACCCCCCCCCCCCATCTGGGGGCCCTGGGCTCCCATCCTCATCTCTCCCCCTAGACTGGAATTGCTGCTACCCAGCTGGGGTGGGTGAGGCCTGCACTGATTGGGGCCTGGGGAAAGGGTCAAGGAGAGGGGTTTGGCCACACCCTCCCCACTAAGGACTGGACCCTTGGCCTCCTCTCCCCCTTGTTTTCTATTTATTGTACCAAAGACAGTGGTGGTCCGGTGGGGGAGGGGGAGACATTCTCCCTTGCCCCAGGATCCTAGGAGGGGTGGGGGCAGGTAGGGGGAGATGGCCTTGCTCCTCCTCGCTGTACCCCCCAGTAAAGAGCTTTCTCACATGCCTGCCTGAGCGTTTGCAGGGCCTTGGCTCCCCCTCACCCGCCCTCAGAGCCATTGTGGGGAGAGGTGTAGGGGAGAGGGGGTGTTGGAAGAGCTCTAGTGTAAGTACATCCCTTCTGGGTAAATTAAAGAGTTGATGCAGGCATGGGGCTGCAGGAGAGGCTACAGAATCCTGGGCATGTTGTGGGTAGAGGCCTAGCCCACATTTGCCTTTTCCAGGGTAAAAAGACCCCAAAAGGGTAGAGGCCCCCTTAGGCTCACCTGTCTGCGAAACACCATGTTCTGCTCTCCTAAACCACGGCTCGCTGGGGGGGTTGGTTGCACGTCAGAGGCTGTTTATGCCAGGCAGGTATCCAATGTTGATGCCGTCGGGGAGCAGACGAGCGGCGAGCACAGCTTATGCCCAACCCATGCCTGGTCCCACTTCGGGCTCATTGTAGAAAGAAGCATTTTGAGATTTTTTTCAGGCAAAGATGCTCCCTTGGTTCCAGGTAAGTAGTCTTGTTTCCATGGCAATCTGGGAACTTCCGTCTCCTATTAGCCAATCAAGAACCGCACGGTTCAAAGAGTACTGTCTCCACCACTGGGGCGCGGCGCTCTCTGGGAAATGGAGTTCTATGCGGTGATTTCTTTGTCGGCCTTTCGTTGGGGGAACTACAAAGACCAGAATTCTCCGCGCACGCTTGAAGGCGAGGCTAGACGGGTAGGGCCCGGATGTTGGAGGCGGTCGCTAAAGGCAGAGAAGGCTGTGATTGGACGGTTTGCTGCATGCATTGTGCGGTGTCGCGTTCTCGAGTGTCGGAAGATGGAGGTGCAGTCCCGACGCAGCCCTGGGAGGGGGCGTGGGCCGCGGCTGGGAGTCAGGCGCCCCGCAGTTCGAGGCCGGAAGTGGCCCTGGGGGGCAAGAATCGCTAGTCGGTGGAGAGACGGGTACCTGAGGGCTATCGGAGGCCGCGGGGAGCGCGATGCGGCCAGGCGGGCACCGGCGGGGGTCGGCGTGCCCCGGGGGCTGTGGATGCTGGGGCGATGGTGGCGAGGATTCTGTATAAACTGGATCTCGGGGGACGGGGGTCATCCAGGTCGCTGGGAGCAGTGAGGACTCAGGAGAGAGTTTCTGGAAGGAAATGCGCGGGGCCTACTTTTGTTGAGACTCGGGAATCGATGGGCAGGAAGATACCGGGGTCAGAGGGGCGGCCGCAGGGTCCTAGGCCAAAGATGTCACCGCGGGCGAGGCGGGGCGGGGCGGGGCGGGTGCGAGAGGGGCCAGTATGAGAGGGGTCTGGAGGCCGAGTTGACGGCTGTGTGGAAAAAGAGTGGTGGAGGGGGCCAGGGCACGCATGCGCGCGTGTACACACACACACGCACACACACGATTCTCAGTAAAACCAAATCGCAAGCTGATAGAGAAGGAACGATGCCAGGGAAGGAGTCCAGGGCCTCCCACGTGGGAAGAGCTGTACCACAGCTACAGCAGCCTCCTCAGAATACTTGGGGAGGCTGGTACCCCTGTGACCTGTGAACTCCTTTCTACAAAAGGGGATGCTGAAGGCAAAGGAGGTTAAGTAATTTATCATGAAGGTCAGAGAGAGAGAGAGAGAGTGTTGTTCACTTAAGGTACTTGTTGATCCTAGAGACCTCACCAGGAGCCAGGTCATGTACCTATAAGGAACTTAAGATCTCCAGGAAATATCCCTCATCTTATATCTTAACTTCCAGCCCAGAACTGGAGCTCCCGACTGCCTGTATAATACCTCCTGGTTTGTCTAGAACAACATCTCCAGAGTCACCTCAGCAAGCTCTTCTGCTCCCACCCCTCCTCCACTGTTCTCACATACAGCCAGAGGGGCACTGGGAGCACCTGCTCAGGTCCATTCAGTGCTCGGGATCCCTCCATGGCTCCATGTCATTCAGGGTAGAACTAGAGCCTTTTCTTTGCCGGATCTGCTCATCACCCCTGCCCTAGACACACTGGCCATAGGACCTTTGTACTTTGCCCCAAACATTCATCTCCCAGATTGCCCACATGCATCCTTTGCCTCCTTTATGTCTTCACCAGATGACACATCCTCTGTGAGCATTTCCCTGGCCACTGTTTTGAAATTATGGCATTAATAGCTGTGTGTATTTTTCCTTAACTTTTCCTTGTGTTGTATCATATCACTAACACTGTAGAATTGGTCGTGGGGCTTGAACTAAGCCTGGGCGCTGGCCCTGAGCTCTTCAGCTCAGGCTAGCACTTTACCCCTTTGAGCCACAGCTCTTCTTCCAGTTTTCATTGGAGATGAGTCTCATGGACTTTCCTGCCCAGGGTTGCTTTGAACCATGATCCTTAGATCTCAGCCTCCAGAGCAGCTAGGATGACAGGTGTGAGCCTCTAGTGCCCATCTCAGAATTTATCTTGTATATTGCCACTCTGCCCCAGACCTCCAGCTATGTGACTGCAGAGACTTTTACCTATTTTATTCTTTGCCCTTTCCTATCTCCACAAGAGAACTTGGCACACAGTAGGGCTCATTGTCTACCAGATGAACCATTTCAAAGGGTCGATGGAGATACTAGAATCCTAGGGACTCCATCCCCTCCACAACTAATTTGTCAGGGCTTAAGTCATGGGGAAGTATTTCATCTTGTCTCTGCTTTGTGCTCAGCTGTACAAACACAGCAAGGGACAAAATCACTTCTCCATCCTGAAGGACCGCAGCCTTGCAGGAGGGCTTCCATGGTCAGAAAATCCAGCAGTGTGAAATTACAAAGGTGAACTGGCAGTGTGCTATGTGAGCATCAACAAGAAAACTACTCTGGATCAGAGGAAAGAGGCTTGAGGCCATGAAGAAAGAGTATGCAGCTGAAGTGCAGGGCTCAGTGGTAGAGCGCTTTAGCTACATTACACTAAGGTCCTGAGTTCCAGTCCCACTACTGCCAAAAAAAGACTTGTGTGAAGGCTAGAACTCAGAGGCTGAAGCTGAGCAAGAAACTGGACCATGCCAGTCCTGAAAATCTTTGGGTGCTTATTGTATGTGTAAGGGAGTGGGGGTGTTGTACGAGCACTTTTTTTTTTTTTTTGGTCGGTCATGGGGCTTGAACTCTGGGCCTGGGTGCTGTCCCTCAGCTCTTCAGCTCAAGGCGAGCGCTCTACCACTTGAGCTACAGCGCCACTTCCGGCTTTCTGGTGGTTTTATTGGAGATAGGAGTCTCATGGTCTCTCCTGCCCGGGCTGGCTTTGAACCGCGATCCTCAGATCTCAGCCTCCTGAGTAGCTAGGATTACAGGCGTGAGCCACCAGCACCCGGCTTGTACGAGCACTTTTAAGCAGCGGAAGGCATCATGGTTTTGTGTTTTAAAAGATTCTTTTGCCCAGGTGGGAGTCAGTGGCTCATGCCTATAATCCTGGCTACTTAGGCAGCTGAGATCTGGAGGCAGGTGATTCCAGATCAGCTCAGGCAAAGGAATCTTCTTCCATCTCAATGAAAGAAGCTGGGCATGGTGGCGTCCTTCTGTCATCCTAGCTATCTATAATGGGATACAGCAAAAAGGAGCACCACATTCCAGGCACACACCAGGGCAGGAAGTGAGATGCTATCTCCAAATAACCCATGCACCAAAGGGCTGGAGGTGTGGTACCAGTAGTAGAGTACCTTCTCATCAAGTGCCAAGCCCTGAGTTCAAACCCAGGCCCCACCAAAAAAAAAAGCAATTCCTCTTATCTCTCAAGTGAGGAATTGACTAGAGAGGATTGAATGTTGAAGTAGAAAGGCAGCTGATGCCTCTGTTGATGTAAGGTAGGACTAGCTGTGGTTAAAAGCAGCCACACTCCTTGTTGATCCTGTCAAGAGAGGGCTCTCTTTTTCTCCTTGAACCTTGGCTGAGGCTATAATTTGTTTGGAAGTAAACCTGAGACAGCCAAGCATTGGGGTGCATGCTCAGCCTCGGTTCATGTGTGGTGGTCTTGATGGCAGGCATTGTTCCAAGCCTTTGTGTGCAGGGAGTCAGTTACCTGTCCTTGTTAGGAGAGGTGCATCTCCCGTCCCAGCCCCTCTTCCATCCCAGTGCTCAGTGAGGCCTCTTCACTTCTGGTCAGCTGCTGGCTATGGGCAGATGTGAGCCCATCAGTCCATGTTCATCCTGTGTGCCTTTAGTCACTTTCCTCCACAACATTCTCAAGGCCCTATTTCTTCCTTTGGAAGAAGGGCTTAAACCACTGTCTTTAGCAACTAAGAATTTTCCCGATGTGTCCCCAATTACTTGTTGAAAAAACAAAATCCCTTTGAGCTCTACATCCTGCCTCAGCCTGGGATTACAGACATGTACCACAACTCCCAGCAGGGACCTCTTTTTTGTTGTTTTTGGGCTGGTCCTGAGACTTAAACTCAGGGCCTGGACACTGTCCCTGAGCTTTTGTGCGTAAGGCTGGCACTGTATCACTTGATCCACTTCACTTCTGGCTGTGTGTGTGTGTGTGTGTGAGATCGTGGGGCTTGAACTCTAGGCCTGGTTGCTGTGCTACCACTTGAGCCACAGCACCACTTCCGACATGCAAGGCAAGCACTCTACCACTGAGCCACCTTCCCAGCCCCACTTCTGGCTTTTTACTGGTTAATTGGAGATAAGAGTCTCACAGATTTTCCTGCCCTGGCTAACTTTGAACCTGCATGCTCAGATCTCAGCCTCCTGAGTAGCTGGGATTGCAGGCATGAACCACCAACATCTGGCTTTTCTTTCCTTTCTTTATCCTCAGAGCTCAGCCTCCTGAGGATTAAAAACTAGGATTACAGTTGTGAGCCACCAGCTCCTGGCTTTTGTGTTTTTAAGAAAGCTACTCAACAATTTCCTTCACCCAGACTATTCCTCCCTCTCCTCCCACTGGCCACTTGTCTACCTTTCTGGTTCTCTGTCCCCTTTCTCCCAGTTTTCCAAATACAGACACATCTGTGCAGTAGGCCGCTGTCCCCATGGCCAGGTCTCTGGAATGCTTTCTATAACCTGATCCTCCAGGCGCTTC